AAAGCTATGTTTCTTGTTTTAATTATTTTATAGCATTATTCTATAACTGTTTGAACTCACTAGGTTTTAAGCCTAACACCTTTCTTAAATGACGTGTATATCATAATCTTAAATCAGGGGGTCCAAAGGTCTGAATGGAGCATGTTTCTGGTAGTTGCATTTCAGATTACTACTCTTTTGGGAGATATTGTGGAGCTGATAATGATATATTCATTCTTTTGAGGATTGTAGCGACATTCGATTATAATCTAGATCTTGATTTGATTTAAATTAGTAGGTTGTTAGTTACAGTTCATTCTTGGTGTGAACTCCTTTAATGTTTCCCCTTTGTTGGGTGATTATATTTAATCCAACTTTTATTACACTTATATAGACGTTTGAAATTATCTCCTATTTAAGAATGTTACATGTTTCATAGCAAAGTGTCCTAGACTCGTTTGTGATCATTATTTGGTTGTTTTGGTAGAAATGTCGGTTTTTTCATTGGATATAATTTTATTTCAAAAGGGTGTAAAATTGATAGAATAAGATTTTATTATATTCCAAAATGTAATAGAATAGGATTTATATTAATGAAAACCTTATGGAAACCAACACGGCAAAAAAAACAACCAAAGATGAAAAGGCTAGAATAGAGGTGGAGGTGGCCTAGGTTGTAACCCATGTTGTGTGAAAGGTCGTTTGCGACACGGGTCACATATGGCTAGTGTCTTACGTGATTTAGGTCATGCCTAAAGTCGCTTGGAAAGTCGTGTTGGGCTCTGTTAAGGCATTAGACGAGAGGCGTTTTCAGATCTCAAAAGAATAGCGATTTGAGAATTTGAAGACATCAACAAATCCTTTCGGTTTGTCCCTAGTGTCAACTACAATTATCCATGATGGCTCTTGAACAATCGAATTAAGAGGAAAAGAATTTGTTATGCATTTTAATTATGGTTGTTTATAACTTGTGCTTAGTTGTGAATATTTATTAGGGAAAAGTCTAAAAAACTAATGGACTTTGTTGTTTGAAATAATTAAGTGTTTGGACAATTTTTTGAAATAAATAAGTTCTTGGACATTCCAAAACCTATTAAATAACTCCTTCAACTTTCTGAAACATGTTAGATACATTCTTATGACCTATACAATTGGTTAATGTGATAAAATAATAGAAAAAGTCCGGAAAAAAAATCAATGGACTTTCATATTTTAAATGATTAAACAAATATACCAAAAAAATACTTACATTTAAAAAAAATATTGATGAAATTTGTTTTAATTAAAAATAAAATATATTATGTACGTGATTTTTTAAATTAAAATTAATAAAAAAGATTTA